ATATTATTACCCAAAACTTTATAAAGCCAATGAACAACTTTTAACAAGAGAGTATTAAAAACATGTGCCCAATAGCTGGTATTATCTGCCATTCTGCAGCTTCGTCCTCATCAAAATGTGGCCTCTTTTGACTCATCTCAGGGTTTCACGTTTCTAGAGGGCACCCACAGCAGTTCTGATCCTGTAGAGATATAAGCAAATCCTCACCCCCACTTAATAACAAATCCCTTTTCCCATTCATTAGTTAGAGGTTCTTTATAATATATAGGCTGATTCAATTCTTTAGAGGATTGTAATACTCAATGTCTTTCATCTGGAGTCTACTATTAATAAATTTGACATTCGGCTTCCCTCAGTGTGGCGTCAGGATTGGTGGAAGATCTACTAACAATCCATGTTATGCAGATGACACAACCCTGCTCGCTGAAACTGAGGAAGATCTCATGCACTTGCTGCAGAGGGCCAAGGACTGCAGCCTTCAGTATGGATTGAGGCTCAATGTCAAGAAGACAAAGATTCTCACCACTGGACCAACTGGCAGCATCAGGATGGTTGGTGAAGATTGAGATTGTTAACAACTTTAGTCTGCTTAGCTCCACAGTCAACACTCTTGGCACCAGCAGCCAGGAAATAAAAAACATATTGCGATGGGAAAGTCTGCTGTTAGGGACCTCTCCAGGGTACTGGAGAGCAATGGTGTCACTCTGGAGACTAAGGTGCGTCTGATACAGGCTATGGTCTTTGCACTCACTTGTTACACATCAGAGAGTTGGACAATGACTAAGGAGAATAGAAGGAAAATTGATGCCTTTGAGCTGTGGTGTTGGAGAAGAGTAATGAATGTACCCTGGAGTGCCAAGAAAACAAACAGATCCATCCTGGAGAGGGTAAAACCAGGCTGCACCTTGGAGGCAAGGATTCTGAGGCTCCATCTAACATACTTTGGACATGTTGTAAGGAGGGGCAGGTCCTTGGAGAGGGACATCATGCTTTGTAGGGTCGAGGGACGGCGCAGGAGGGGAAGGCCCTCTATGAGGAGGATTGATTCAGTGACTGGGGTAATCGGGATGTGTGTGTCGGAGGCAGTGAGATTGGCACAGGATAGAGCAGGGTTTAGGGCTGTTGTACACAGGGTCAATATGAGTCGCAAGCGACTCGACGGCACATAACAACAACCACCAAAAGAATAAACATGTCTGTCTTAGACAAAGTGCAACCAGGGTGCTCTTTAGAAGCAAGGATGGTGAAACTGTGTCCTGCATACTTTAGACATGTTGTCAGAATGAGCCAGTCCTTGGAAAAAGATATCATGCTTGGAAAGGTGGCAAGACAATTAAAGAGAGGAAGATCTTCAACAAGATGGATTGACACAGTGACTTTAACAATAGACTGGCACAAATAAAAGGTTAGTGAGTCTGGCGGAAGACAGGGCAAGATTCAGATCCGTTTGTGCAAAGAGTTATTAAAACCTGTAGCCGACTAAATATCACCTCGTAACAACAAGAACAGTGACATTGTGGATAAAAGCATTTGCTGCTTGCCCAAAAAGTTGACAAATCAAGCCCACGTGCCAGTCTAAGGGAGTGACAATCTGCTTCCATAATGATTTACAACCTTGAAAAGACAATGAACAGTCTACTCTTGTCCTGCTGGGTTTCTATGAATTGAAATAAATTTTATGGCAATGGGAATTTGGTTCAAAGAAATATGCTTAAAACTGTAAATCTTTGCACTTACACTTGGCATATATTTACACATATACCTGTTGATCTGCTCCTGAAAAGAGTATAGCCTTAGATGAGGCAGCTCTATTCTGTCTCACAGGGCTGCTATGAGTCAGCCCTGTAAGACTCAAAGGCAGTAAGTGTTTTGGTCAAAGGAATAATTAGTCTAGACTTAATAAAAGGGGGAGATGAGATGAAAAGCCTTTGGCAGATTATGCTTTGAAGGAAAAGAAGTAACTACGGACACTTAATATTTAGTTATAATGGTCCATATTTCAGGACATGCTTTTATCTGTTTACTTTATCAAAACATAAATATAGTGAGACCTCAAGAGAGCTGGAGAAATAGAGATGACTAGAAAGAAGGTGCCTCTGATTGGGATTCAGCAGATTCCGTCATTCATTTCAGCCAGTCTTCTGACCCTTTCCAAGCAAATCTGAAAAACAAATCAAAAGGGGCTATAATTTATTGCACTGACTCCAGACTAGAAATGGGGTTCTTTCTGGTGCATACAATTGGGATTTGTGTTTGTGGTGTTCATAAGGGTCCATCAGTGATGCAACTGCTTAAGTAACTCAAATACTAACTTCATGGTTGGTGGTCCAAACTCATCCCAGGATACCTCCAAAAACAAGCCTAGCCATCTGCTTCTGAAAACCCTACCGAGGCCAGTTTTGCAACACACAAGGAAGACATGAGTCAGAATAAACCTTAAGGACAACTGCCTCGGCTATTATCTTTATGATTAAATGAATATTTTCTTTTTTCATTTTTAAAAATTTTCTTATATTACTCTGATTTATTTACAACGTTTGCATACATTGTTTTTCACAGACGATCCTTCCCATGTCCTTCACTCAACATATTTTCTATATGATAGAGTCCTCCACTGGTGTAAATGGTTAACAGACTCACTTGCTAAATAAAAGGTTGACAAACGTACTTCAGAAGAAAGGCTTGGTAATTTACTCCCCTCCCCACCCCTCAAAAAAAATCAGCCACTAAAACCCTATGGAGTGTTCTGTCTGATGTACGTTGAGTCACCATGAGTCAGAAGCAATGAAAGATGGAATTTGTTTTCTTTTTTTTCCATGGACATCAGAGGTTTTTTTTTTTTTTTTTTCTTTTTTTTCCATGGACATCAGAGGTTTTTTTTTTTTTTTTTTTTAATTTTCAACATAACAATCACCATCACAAAGTCAAAGCCAATACTTGAATTGTGCTTATGCTGTTTAGTGTTTGACATAGATAAATACAACAATATTTCCTCATCTTGAGAATGTGGATTAAATTGTTGTGAGAAGTTTTCACAATAGACATAGAGGGCCAGTGGTGCGTTCATGGTCGGTCAAACAGCTAGTTAGTATCAAGCAGTAACCTGAGCTCTTATTCACTCCCTACATGGAAGGAGACATCTTAGGAGAATGTGTACACGCAAAATATTACGTCTCTACACAATTGGTTTAAGGGAGAGGGTATTCTTCCTAGCTTCTCCTGTCCGCATCACCCCAGCCTCATCTTTTGTCAAGAGGTTCTCGTTAATCTCCTGTCCTCCTTGCTTTAGTGACTAAAAGAGGGAAGGGAGGGGTTAATTTGGGTGCAGAACCCTAGGGCAGGCCCCTGGTCTTCCTTAGAGTAAACACATTTGATTCCATGCAAAATCCTTCTTCAGATGTATGGGTTAAATCACTCTCGTTCATTCACTGATTTTCAGAGTGGCCATGTATTAATTTACTTTCGAGGAAATATTCTCTAACTTAAAAACCTAAAAAGATTCTCCGACATTTCACTTCTTTCTTAGAGAAACCTTTTTTAAAACCCTTGAAGCGCGCTCACACTGACGCCTCCTTGCTCAGCAGCCGCCGCAAGGGGGCAGCGGGGGCCGCGGATCTGAGCCGCGCGGAGGGCGCGGTGGCTCGGCCATCGCTTGTTCTGGCCTGGCGCGCGGCTCTCGGCCGTGGATTAGCGCATCTGAGGACGTGGGAGGAGGCGGGCCCCGCCCCCGGCCGCGGTGGCGGCCCAGCGAGGCACTCGGAGCTGCGAGCGGAGCGGCGGGGAGGGCGCGCCTGGCCGGCCGGAACACTGCGCTGCGCGCTGCTTTCTGGGCTCCTGTCCGCGCGCCAAGGCGCGGGCACCTTCGCGGGCCCCTCGGTCACGCCCCGACTTCGGGGCGGCGGGACTCGGGGGCCGTCCGCCGTGGCCCCGGGACCATGGCTCTGCGCGCTCGGGCGCTGTATGACTTCAGGTCGGAGAACCCGGGCGAGATCTCGCTGCGGGAGCACGAGGTGCTGAGCCTGTGCAGCGAGCAGGACATCGAGGGCTGGCTCGAGGGCGTCAACAGCCGTGGCGACCGGGGCCTCTTCCCGGCTTCGTACGTGCAAGTGATCCGTGCCCCGGAGCCCGGCCCGGCGGGCGACGGCGGCCCGGGAGCCCCGGCCCGCTACGCCAACGTGCCGCCCGGCGGCTTCGAGCCCCTGCCCGCCGCACCGCCCACCTCCTTCAAGCCACTGCCGGACGCCTTCCAGCCGCTGCTGCAAGCGCAGCAGACGCCGCCGCCCAGCACCTTCCAGCCGCCCGGCGCGGGCTTTCCGTACGGCGGGGGCGCCCTGCAGCCGTCGTCCCAGCAGCTTTATGTTGGCGGCGGCTATCAGGCCAGCCAGGGCAGCGACGATGACTGGGACGACGAGTGGGATGACAGCTCCACGGTGGCCGACGAGCCGGGCGCACTGGGCAGCGGCGCGTACCCAGATCTCGACGGCTCGTCGTCGCGCTCGGACCTGTCCCTGGGCTCCCGCGGCAGCTCGGCGCCCCCGCACCATCTGCAGCATCACCCGTCGGGGGCCAAGAGCTCGGCCACGGTGAGCCGCAACCTCAACCGCTTCTCCACCTTCGTCAAGTCGGGCGGGGAGGCTTTTGTGCTGGGCGAGGCGTCAGGCTTCGTCAAGGATGGGGACAAGCTGTGCGTGGTCCTGGGACCCTATGGTCCTGAGTGGCAGGAGAACCCCTACCCGTTCCAGTGCACCATCGATGATCCCACCAAACAGACCAAGTTCAAGGGCATGAAGAGCTACATCTCCTACAAGCTGGTGCCCACGCACACACAGGTACCGGTGCACCGGCGCTACAAGCACTTCGACTGGTTGTACGCGCGCCTGGCCGAGAAGTTCCCGGTCATCTCGGTGCCCCACCTGCCCGAGAAGCAGGCCACCGGTCGCTTCGAGGAGGACTTCATCTCCAAGCGCCGGAAAGGCCTCATCTGGTGGATGAATCACATGGCCAGCCACCCAGTGCTGGCGCAGTGCGACGTCTTCCAGCATTTCCTGACGTGCTCCAGCAGCACCGACGAGAAGGCCTGGAAACAGGGCAAGAGGAAGGCGGAGAAGGACGAGATGGTGGGCGCCAACTTCTTCCTGACCCTCAGCACGCCCCCCGCTGCGGCTCTGGACCTGCAGGAGGTGGAGAGCAAGATCGACGGCTTTAAGAGCTTCACCAAGAAGATGGACGACAGCGCGCTGCATCTCAACCACACCGCCAACGAGTTCGCACGCAAGCAGGTGACTGGCTTCAAGAAGGAGTATCAGAAAGTAGGCCAGTCCTTCCGGGGCCTCAGCCAGGCTTTCGAGTTGGACCAGCAAGCCTTCTCGGCTGGCCTGAACCAGGCCATCGCCTTCACCGGAGATGCCTACGACGCCATCGGCGAGCTCTTTGCTGACCAGCCCAGGCAGGACCTGGACCCAGTCATGGACCTCTTAGCGCTGTATCAGGGGCATCTGGCCAACTTCCCGGACATCATCCATGTGCAGAAAGGTAAAAGCTCGCTGTCTAGAGTAAATGGTATTGAATGTGGTTTTGTAGGCAGAAAGGTGATTTTGACCAAAGTCTCACTGCCGGTTTCAGACTAATCTTCAAAATCAACAGATTGAGTGGCCCATCCATGAGTGGCTTCCTCAAAATGCTTCCTAAGGAACGTTGTGAGGCCAATTTTTCTGACATGGCAGCCTTTTAAGAGTTGGCATCGAGGGTAATGTGCGCCTTTTCATATTTAATCTTGTGACCAGGGTAGAATTAGAAGGGAGCCCAAATTGTGTTAGGCATCTCTATGACTCTTGTCAGGTCACTTAGCATTGGGTTTCAGGAAGCATGCAAATAATGGGGAAGAACTGGTTATCTGCAATTAATGGTAAAAGGTAAGTCTACACCTCCAAGTCCCTTCTCAGGGAGGAGAATTAGCATCATTTCTTCCAGGTTCTAGCTTAAGAACGTCATGCCCGGAGTTCTTGTTTGCAGTCTTTGTAAAATGGAGATAAAAGACTCATTTCAGTTTTAAGAAAATGAATCTCTTTGACTTGAGTTTAATAATTTTGTCTTTGAAATTTATTAACTGACCAAAAGGAAGAATCTTAGGCAGGTGATACAGTCATAACAGTGTGTCTGAGAGCAGTGTTTCTGGTATCCCAGTGAATTCACTGCCCAGCTGTCATCATATAGCTTGCTTATTATTAGTCTTCATCATAATTTGTAACAACTAGATGCTTAAGGATTGTTAACAACTAGGGTTAAACTCCCTTGATGCTAGTGGTTTGTACCCACCTAGCTAGCTGCTTCTCAGGAGAAGACCTGATGGTCAGCGCCAATGAAAATTACAGCCTTGAAAACCCAGTGAGGTGTTTTACCTTGTTCTGTAGGGTTTCACTGCTCACCCAAAAACGCACCTCTGGCAGTTCTCATCCCTAGTGGCTCCCCTGAAGAAAGTTGAGCATTCTCTTGCGATGCGGAAACTCACAAGAGGGTCACTTATGAGTCACCTCTGACTCAACCACTATAAGTTGACATAGGACTGCTATAAGTAAGAATCTCTTTCATAGAATTTAACATCTTTTGTTGAAATATTGAAATTTGCAAGTTGTTCAGTTATAGAATAAATTAGAGCAGCAATCCCTGGCCTCACTTTACTCACTAATTTGCATGCTGATGTAATGCCTGGAGTCAGAGAAGGGAAAGTTTTTCCTGTGAGCCTGCCTTCTTGGGTGAAGGGAGGAGGCTAGGGAGAGGGAGTTTAATTCCATTTCATGCACCTTGGAATGGGATACTGCTTGTCCAGATGGACCAGTTGGACTTAGGAACCACTTTGCTCTCAGCCGTGTTTTTCTAATATTCAACTAAACTGTGCCTCTTTGGCTTACCTTGCTAGTCTTAAGTCCTAGGAATTATACAAAATAGTTTTCATGCTTGTGTCAGCCCTGAATTCATACATTTGGAGACAGCAGTCTCTCCATCCCATTCCGAGTGTGGGGCTGGTTTTCTGCCTCTTATCCCTGAGGACAAGAGAGACTCCATCTTGAGCATGGCCTCAACGTTTCTAGAACACAGTGGGCTGCCACAGGACAAATGTTGGTAGAAAATAATCTTCCCTGGCAGTTTAGAATTTGTAAATGCAGCCCAACATTGAAGTAGCTCTTTGAGGCACCATATTGCTTTGTCCATCTCATGCTCTTTGAGCATGTTACCAGGAAGGGCCAATTCTTAAGAAAGAGACAAAAGTAGAGGGCCAGCGAAGGGGGGAGAGACCCTCAGTGAGGTGGATTGACACAATGACAGAAACTGGTATTTACGCACAACGGAGATTGTGAGGATGATACAGGATCTGACAGGGTACTGTTCTGTTGTACATCTGGTCACTTGGAGCCAGAGCTGATTCCAAAGCACCTAACAACAGTGTTGCTGTTGACATCTTTTGCACCCTGTCTCTTTTTTATTAATTGTTCTGAATCCTTGATTTTTTTTCTTGTCTAGTGCTGGTGGAAATGATTTTTTTGAGCCTTTGATTCAGGCCTTTACATTTAGATGTCGTGTATTACCTGGAATTTAAATGTATTTGGAACTGTGCTGGCTGCCTTTTTCATGTTTCTGAGGGTTCATACTGAGTTTTGGTAAATGGTAGGAGATCTAGTAATGGAAGTGCCTAGGGAGTTGTGCCGCTAACCCCAAAGCCATTTCTGGTGCTTTCTCCTCCTGTTATAATTAACAGCCTGGAAACTTGATGGAAGGTTTCTCTGAGTCCGAATTGACTTGGTGACAGTGACTTTGAGTGAAAAATGGATAGAGCTAAGCAAAGAATCCTGTAGCTGGACTCTGGTGATTGTTTAGTTCATTCATTGCTTCTGTTGCCATTCAGGCCATGCACTCACAAATACAGTGACAGGCTTTGTAACAGCCTTGCTGTTGAGATTATTTTTAAAAATTGATAAGAAGTCTATTTTGAGTTTGCCACAATAATCTGCTTAATCTGTTAAGCTGCCCAGAGTTTATTAAAAAACAAAACAAAAAACCCTCTAGTACTGAAATGATCACCTGTTGCTTGAGATTTGAAAAACTGCTTTCATTGAAACCAGTACTTTTGTTGTTGCTATTAGATTCAAGGATGTTAAGTGTACACTGTAGGAACTTTGGAAAGAACACCACCTCAGCGTAGTTTGTTTCTGCTGTAGCCTTGGAGTGGACCGCTCAGGGAGCAGTGTCCCTAGATAATGCATCTTGAGAACAGGCTGACATTTAAAGCTGTAGTGTGCAGTATACAAGGCATCCTCATAAAGGATTGTGTTGGGGTGATTTTTAGGAATACATATGACATGAAGATCATAAATGAGGCTAAAGCATTTTGAGCATGTTTATGACCATGGATGTAAAAAGCAATTCACCTTTCTGCTCTTACCTGTGTTAAGTTGCTATTGGAAGGAATCTTGTTTTTTTCAGTCTGAGCACTTGGAGATTTTGTTTAGGCTTTGTTTGTTCCTTTCAGATCTCAGCATAATCACATTGAAGGTCTCACTGTGCCTCTTGAAAAGAGAACAACAAAAAATGATAAAGAAAAAACTTTTAAGCAACTTAAGCAACTTTTTGCTACAGATATTTGCCTTGGAGTTTATATACCAACTTAGGGGGGAAACGTTAACTAAAAAATAAAGTCAAAATACTTACTCTCATTGTTTAATGTAAGATAAAAAGCAGTGTCACTACTTCTGCATTTCACAAATCTTAATGTATTACCAGAGGAGCTCTGATGGTGTAGTCTGATGCCCAATGCCCTGCTAATCAAACAGGCCTAGTGTCTCCATCAGTTCAAATCCACAAATGCTTCTTAGGGAGACAGTTTGGTAGTTACCTCCCATTAAGATTATAGCTTTGGAAACCTGATAGCGGGTCACTGGGGGGAAAGAAAGAGACGTTGGGTTTTTGAGGGGTTTTTGCTTATCATTGAGTTTGTACTTGCCTTTGAGTTGAGCACGACTCATAGAGACCCTATGAATAAAAGGCCTGAAGCCTTTGTATAACTATAGACATCCATCAAAGTTCATAGAGTTTCCAGAGGCATGTTGTTTACGAAGTGGATGCCATTCCTGCTTCCAAATTGTTCATATTATTCCATATTGTTCACTATGGAAGTTGTAGTCACATCTGGCCACTGAATTAAAATATTAAAAAAATCTACTTCCACAGTCACACTAGCCATGCTTCAAGTGCTTACAAGTCCATTCATTGCTGTCGAGTCGGAAAAGATTCATAGCTGACCTCCAGCGGGTGTTCAGGAGGCTGGAAATTGGCCAGGAGGAAATTGCTTATCTTTCTTTCAGGCAACAGCTGGTGGATTTGAACTGCCAAGAGATGTCTCCTTTGGGTTAGCAGTGTATGGTCAAGTTGGGAACCAACCCATAGCTGACCCTTTTGCAGGTTTTCAAAGGCAGTTTAATCATAAGAGAGGAGGTTGCCCATTTTTCTCCCACGGAGCAGCTGTGGATTTGAACTTCGTGCTTTTAGGATTGCAGCACAGTTCCTATCACTAGGCCACCAGAGCCGCTCTATAGTGGCTGCTGTATTGGACAGCATCATGGACAACATTTCCATCATCAAAGAAAATTCTGTTATACAGCCTTGTCCCATCTTAAGCCTTTATAGTCAATTGGTAAACTTTACTATACTTCCCAGATGGTTTTTGCTTGGTCATAACATGGCATCTCCTTCCCACCTAGAGCTAAGTAGTAAAAATGAGAGAGGAAGCAGATTCTCTTCTTTACAGAACTTCTAGACATTTGACCAGTGATTTTCCTGAGTTGAGCATGCCTCCCTGCTTCCTGTGCAACTTCATGTTCCATTGAGAAACTACAACTGGTCTCAGAATGGCCATTAAAGAGGGTAGTGCAGGACTCTCAAATGTCGTGGAACTAGCAGGTTTGTGGGTTTTGTTGGTGGTGGGTTTTGTTTTTTGTTTTTTTTTTTTTAATTGTACTTAATACTAGAAACCATTGTTTAAACTTAGTGAGCTTTTATGTGAATACTTTCTTTTAAAGTGAATAAAGAGAATTCTAGAATTCTAATTTTTCATTAGCTAGTGGAACCTTAAGTAAACAGGTCTAGTGAGGTTGATAGAGTAGTGAAGTAAGTAGGCAGTTAGTTTGTTGTAGTCTGTAATACATAAGTTGGGAATTTAGAATCTGTTTGAATTGTATTCGTATTTTGTTTGACTTGACAGGAGCACTTTATATTCCTTGTTCAGAGGCAGCTCATTGATCCTTGTCTAGGTGCACGCACAGGCTTGTCACCAAATAGCTTTGTAATCCTGTAGTCTCAGCTTTCTTTTCGAATAGTAGCATTTTCTCTTCTCCCTCCTTACCCTCCTTGCCTCTAGAATGCTACTGCTGGTGAGTTTTGAGGTTGCACATAGAATACGCTTCACTCAGTCTCTTAGCATGTGCAGTTTTATTTTTCAAAGAGGTGGCTGATCTCTCTTATAAGAGTGAATATAGCAAGAT